TGGTTGAAGAAAAAAGATCAATCTTATTAAGGACACACCCCACTCCAGATTCACCAAGGATCCAGCTGAAGCCCCGTTCACACTACAAGCGACACGCAACGTCAAAGCAACACGATCCCATTCATTTCAATGGAGAGCTGGTGATTTCCGGCGACAAGAGCGACAGAGGCCATTGGTGACCGGATGGGGCATGTCCAGCGACGCGACAAAGTTCAGAATCCTTCAACTTTATGCAAATGAAGAGCGACTTTCGGGAGCAACAGCCAGTAGGAAAGAAGATGGTAGAGCTCATGTGATCGTTCTCCTCTCAGCCGTAGATAAACATATGCAATGGGAAAAAGTAGGCTCTGCTTCTCATTCATTTTTGTTTGTATGTACAGATTTAATTTGTATTTGTTATATTTAGTCTTTTGCCTCCAAAATGTTTGTAATTAGCGGCAAGAAACCTGATTCGCTGTGAAGGCAACCAGTAGTGAGAACGCCCGCTAGCAACCTCATCGCCAGCCCCTGTGACCGCAGCTTCATTACGGGCCATTTAGAGGAGGATTGTCCTTTATCTGCTACACTGCACTGTCACTTCTGGTATGGATTCACTGATCTTTTGTGATATGTGAGATGTTTTGATTTTACTAAATGTAATAATTTTACTTAATTTGATTTTACATAATTTACTTAAAGGGACAGTTCACCCCAAAATTAAAGTTCTACCATCATTTACCCTTCATCACCCTTATGTTTTTCCAAACCTGTATGAATTTCTTTCTTCTGTTGAAGACAAAAAGATATTTTGAAGAATGGTGATAACCAAACAGTTCATAGTAGCCATTGACTTCCATACAGTAGTAGGAAAAAAATTACTGTGGAAATCAATGGGGCCCGTCAACTGTCTAGTTACCAACGTTTGGAACAACATAAGGGTGAGTAAATGATGACATAATTTTAATTTTTGAGTGAACTATCCCTTTAATACAATGTATAATTATGATTCTGAATTAAAAGTGTAATGTTTCTCTACAAATATTATCAGAAATATATGAAGACACATATATTATCAGAAATTAGAGCTGCACGATTAATCGTTAAAAGATTGTAATTTCGATCCAAACCCCACTTACTCTTATTCCTACAGGGTTTCCGCAGGGTCTTAAAAAGTCTTGAATTTAGTTGTATCAAATTTAAGGCCTTAAAAAGTATTAAATTGTAAATCAAGTCTTATGATTTCAAGAGGTCTTAAATTTGGGTATGGAAAGACCAGAATTGCGATATGGCTGAATGTGACGATTAAACTTCAAAAAAGGCTATGATTTCATTAAATAAACATGAGAGCTGCATGTTCAAAGTCTGGTGCTGCCCTGCTTTGTGTACTGCAGTTACCAGGGAAACAGTGATATTTCTACCAAATGCGCCACCTGCTGGCAGAGAATGAGCATTTTCAAAAAGCCTGTTGTTTTGAGTTCAGACCAATGCGAAAATCGGCCCATGTTTTTACCCTGCAAACATTAAATATGAATTGGTGGATTGATAAGAAGACAATGCATTATAAAAATATAAAAAGTAGGGAGTGCGATATATATGGTCTGCGATAATATCGTAATTGTTGTTTTAACGATGTGCGATTCGATCTTATCGAGTACATCGCGAAAAGCAAACAAAACACACCTACAGAGCGCACAGTCTGCACACATACATTAGGTGAAGTCAGTTAATATAGGTTAAACTAGTGCGCGCATTTAGAGTGCGTTCTTTCACCGCATGAATCGGTCTATTAAAATGCATTTAGAATTATCACATAATTCAAGATATGGGGGCAGAAAATGTATGTATTTATATCATTTCATACAGTTAATATCACACGAAGGGTGCCATTTTTTCTCCAAAAGTCAACATGATTACAAATCTGATATTGATTTTATACAACAGTTCAATAAACAAGAAGTTAAGAGACTTACGTTTTAGACACCGTATTTCCTGCTTTTAGTCTATTTCGCCAACAAAAAGTAGCACTGTTTTGTGTCTCTGAGCAACATGACGGTGTTTCCTTCCTGAATGAATCAAGCGTTTAAATGATTCGGTTCAATCGCAATGACTCACTTATTAACAGTGACTTGCTGCCAACTACTGGTGGTTTTAATTTCACATTTAAAGTATCTTTTCATTTTTTTAAAGTAATTTCAAACATCAGTTTTCAATGTTTTATGTTTAAAATATCAAAACATTATTCATGCATTTGTAACTGCAGGTTAAAGTATTTAATTTCCCTCAGAGCTGCATTAAATAGTGTGTAAATGCCACTTCAGATGCAGCTTCTCTGTTTCCTCTGCATTGCAAAGATACATTTTGTTGATACTGATTTCATTTGCTTGGTAACAGCCCAAATGCAAGAATTTGACTAAAAAGTTGTTACACACTTTTAGAGAAAAATGGCTTAAAAGTAAAAATGCCCATAAAACTTATTGGAAAAGATTAAATTCTATCACTGCTGTGCACTGACCACACAGAATATGAAAAATATGATTAATACTTTCATATTTGAATTTTTTTAAATGGTTTAAAGGCTGAAATGTAAAGTGTATCATTTTATAAAACTTTTTGTTTTTGTGAAAACTTGTATATGAACTGTAAATTATGCTTTTTACAGTCATTTTACAGTTTAATATGGTACTATAGACATTGTCCTACCCCTTTGGCGCTTAAAAATCCTGCAGAAACCCTGTTCCTAAATGACAACGATTGTTGTTGTCGCATACTAACACCGTGTCTACACCAGACGTGACAGTTGTCATGTCGCGCCGCGGCACAACAGCTAAAGTCTGTCTACACTAGACGCGACCAAGCGACCGTTGAAAATCATTTAACTATGTGTCAGTACGTCATAAATAGAACAAAGCATCAGTTTGCTGTCGGGGATTTATCATGTTGTGCGGCATCCAGTGTAGACAGAGTCACTGATTATAATGGGTTCTATTCTATTTAGTCGCTCCACACCGCGCTGCTTGCGTCTGGTGTCGACATGGTGTAAACATCCATTTGTTTTAAAAAGCAAACTTAACATCTATCTTTTTCTAATCGTAATTAGGAGACGATGAGCACACAAAGCTTTGTGCTGTGCTCCTCATACTAACCAAGCAATAAAAACACCCCTTCCCATGCTTAAAACAAGGTGTCTGCAGATCAGAGTCCGAAACAGTCACTTGTGGGACAACATTGTCCTGCACCACTTCACAGTCAATAAGTATAAAGAGAATTTTAGATTGACACGGCAGTCATTTATTATATTTTTTAATATAATATTAAAACAACATCAGCTAATTTTGTGCATCATACGTCATTTCTATTTCATTACACTTGCGCAAAACTTTTCTAGTTCAGTTTTCAATTTGATCAAGTGTTTACATGTTCTATTTAATGGATTAGAAAAGGTTTATCCCACCTTTCTAAAGCAACTGAAATTGAAATCGGTTTGAGCATTTTTATTTCGATTGATTTGTTTACATGGAGCTTTTTCAGAACACAATGCTTCATGTCAATGCACCTACTGATCCAGACAGAGAGGGCAGTTGTCATGTGTAGGTATAACACAGTGTCACAAAGTTTTTCAACAACACTTATCGTTTTTTTTTTCTGTGTTAGAATTATTAAAATTATCACAGAAGTAATGGGATAAAAGTTTAGTTTGGATATAAAAACTGATGTCTTCAGTAGCGACCAAAATAGAGCAAATCATTTGAAACAAAGTTGGCACTTCAGGTAAAAAGATTATATCAGTGACGTTACACCAGTAGTTGCCGACAAGTGACTGTTAAACAAATGTATTTGTCATTGAATCATTCATTTAAGAGATTCATTCAAAAACCAAGAGTCTTCTTGTAACGAAACAAGTTAATTATCTATTAATGAGTCATTTAATCATTAATTTTAAGCATCTTAAATAGACTGCAGCCATTAACATTTTGTCAGAACTTCTAGTAAATTACATTTTATTTTTAGTTGTCTGTTAAGAATCGTGATGTCTGTTTGAAACTAAAAACATTCTCTATGTATCCAGAATCATGCAGCTCTAACTTAAGTTATTAAAACTGTGACTCTTAAAGGAATAGTTGACAAAAACAAAAAATCTGTCATAATTTACTCACCCTCAAGTTGCTCCAAACCTGTATGAATTTCATTATTCTACTGAATCTGCTCAACACAAAATATATTTTGAGGAATTTTTGTAACCAAACGGTTGTGGGGTACCACTGACTTCATATTATTTTTTCATACTGTGGAAGTCAATGGTGCCTCACAATAAAAAAAAATGTATTATGCATTATTTTAGTTGGTCTATTCCGTCCATGTCAGAGAATCTGAACGTAAGAAACTACCTAACAGAAAAATATCTAAAATGTATATGCATACATTATAAGCTGATTTTATCATTACAAATTGAAATCAGAATTGTCTGAATAAATAAACAGTAATTCTCTATTAATTTGCCCTTCCAGTGATATTCCAATTACATTGACCATTCCAATTGAAGTTGTTTTTTTCTTATCCTTAGTATAAGTTATTTCATATGGTATTTTAACATGTGTAAGTAACATAATATTTCACATTTACTAAACACAGAAAAGTTGTCTATCAGAATGGCATGTAAACACTTTGGTTTTTACTCTGTTTTCCTTACTGTAGGGGAGGGCAGCATCCTCATACATCATCCTCCTGACAAATTTTTAAAATGTCCTATTTTATCATTTTAGTATCACCATGATTCAGCTAACCACAAAAGTGCTATTTTAATGGTATCTTATATAGCTGTATATCTAAAAAAATAAATAAATATTTGTTTTGCAGAGGCTCTTAAGAATACTGCACTGATGTCAAAGATCAACTGGCAAGAAGCTGAGAGGGAACTCTCAAAATCGGTACAAGATACAAGAGGACTGAGGGTGTCCAGAATGCACAAATGTCTGTCTGCAGTGTAAGCAGTACTGAAAAATGAATAGTTGCTGCTGCTTCTAACTGTCCCCGTTTTTTTTTCTTGGGCAAATGTTCAAAACATTCAGTAAACACTGGTTCAAATACAGGTTCAAAATGTGTGTTAACTTTAACAGTTACATACATTTTAACAATTAGGTAATAGAATATAGCATAATATGATGCGTTATTTCAATAAAATTGAAATTTGAAGAGATTTCAATCTCACTGTGTGCTCTAATGGTTTCATTTTTTTTGTGTGTGTGGTGTTGCTACTCGATTGGAATGAAAACCTGCAGTCGTACTGGACACCTGAAATAGAAAGCTATTTTTTTTTCAGATGGGCTTTAAGCATATTGTCTTGTTGGGCCCACCCTAACACCCAGATAGGTTTTGCATATGATCCCTAGTCGGGCCCCACCTAAAACCCAGTGAAATCCTGCATAAAACCCACATGGGTAGGTTGCATGGGGCCAACATGGAACCCGTGGACAAACCCACTTACAACCCATACTTAAATGGATCCCAGATGGGTTTTGCATATGATCTCTAGTTGGGCCCCACCGTAAACCCAGGGAAATCCTGCATAAAACCCACATGGGTAAGTTGCATGGGGCCAACATGGAACCCATGGACAAACCCACTTACAACCCAGATTTAGATGGAATCCAGATGGGTTTTCCATATCATGCCTAGTTGGGCCCCACCTAAAGCCCAGGGAAATCCTGCATAAAACCCACATGGGTATGTTGCATGGGGCCAACATGGAACCCGTGGACAAACCCACTTACAACCCATATTTCAGCCCATGTAGTAACCTTGTAGTACCCACATAAAAAATAAAGCTGGGGCCAAGATGGGTCTTGCGCATGTTGCCCAGTTGGGGCCCACCTGTTTGCAAGTGCAGTCCCACATGAAATCCATGTGGGCAATTGGCATTGGGCCATTATGGAACCCGCGGACAATCCCATTTTGGGCCCACTTTTTCAGCCCATGTCAAACCCACATGGGCCCCACACACATATGTTGGCTGGGTAGTGGTGTGCCGTGGGATTTTTTACTGATCAAAACTGTGCCGTGGCTAAAAAAAAGGTTGGGAAACACTGCTGTACATGATCTTGTTATGTAACTTTGTTAAGGGATTTTGGCTTTGTTGAGGAAAAAAAAACAAAGCTTTGATGTAACAAAAACAAATACGTAAGTAAAAAAAAAAAAAAATGGCACAGTGTTCCAGTCAGATGGAAAGTAAAACTGAGCCTTGGAGATGGACATTTTTAGCAATGTGAGGATGTAACTAATAAATATAACTACAAAGATAATGTCAGAGACTGAATCTTGTACAAAGTGGGGTGTTAAACTAGCTTTTCCTGTTTAACTGTCATGTAATCTGACACAAGGCTGTTGTAAGGATGTTCTTGGTAAGCCACCTACATTTACATTTAGTCATTTAGCAGACGCTTTTATCCAAAGCGACTAACAAATGAGGACAATAAAAGCAGTCAAAACTAACAAAAGAGCAACAATATATAAGTGCAAATGACAAGTCTCGGTTAGCCTAACGCAGTACATGTAGCAAGGTGTGTATATATATATATATATTATACACACACACACAAACAAAGAAAAACAAGTAGATAGAATAGAAAAAATAGTAAGCTAGTGTAATACTAGTGCTAGTATTTTTTTGTTTTTGTTTTTAAATTAAAAAAAGAAGATAAATATAGATAAAGTAGAATTAAAATAGAATAGAAAGTGCTAGAGTTAGAGGGTCAAATAAAGGTGGAACAGATGTGTTTTTAGTCGTTTCTTGAAGATGGGTAAGGACTCAGCTGCTCGGATTGATTTGGGCAGATCATTCCCCCTGGAGCGAACAGTTAATGAAAAAG